GTGCCAAGGATGGGTGGGATGTGCCCGACATGGTTGAGAGGTGCCCAACATGGGTGAGAGGTGCCCAGCAGGGTGGGATGTGCCAGGGATGGGTGGGATGTGCCCAGCAGGGTGGGATATGCCAGAGATGGGTGGGATGAGCCCAGCAGGGTGGGATCTGTCTCCCTGCCTGGCTTTGGAAGCTGCTCCGTGGGCTGGGGGTGTGGGCTGGGGGTGACAGCCCATAAATGATGCTGGGGACAGGCAGGGGGGTGGCTGAGGAGCAGCGTGGCTGACCCTTCCCACAAACATCTGATCCCATCTCCCACTCCCGGATCCTGGCAGTTCCTACACGCTGCCCTGGCTGGTGGTCAGGGAATTTCGGCTCCTCATCAACCCCAAGGTCAGAACCCAGTCGGGAATCCAGAGCAGAGCGGCTGCCCCTAAAAAGGCTCCAGAGCGGGCCAGAAGGGCCCTCCCGCAGATCTCTGGGCGATTCCCGAGGGACGAGGTGGGAGGGATGTGCTCCTCCTCCATCCTGTTTCTCCAGAAACATAAAAGCAGGGACGGGTTGGGAATGTCTTCCCAGCTCCAAGCACTCAGAGCCACCAGCATCCCCCCTCCAGCACGTTCAAAGTGGGATTTTCCTATTTCCTAAATTTCCTAATTTATTTAGGAATTTCCTAAAATTCCTAAATAAGTAAGAGGATGAAAGGTGAAGCCTCTTCTTCTTCCTCGTCTGACACAGTGACACAGAAACCATAAAACCACTGAGTCCTTCAAGCGCTTTTTAACAAGAAAAAGATAAAACCCCACTCAATTTTTCTGGCCAAACTTCCAGAGGCTCAGGGCACTGGGAGCTGATGGATGTGCAAAGTGCTGGAGCACAGAGGTAGCACACAGAGAGCTCCCAGGGCACGGAAATCCGACGGCTCCTGCGAATTCCCCGTGGTTGGAAGTGGTTTTGCTTCAGCAGCTGCACCTTCACCGTGTCCCTCAAACGCTGGGGGTGGGAGCAGCCCCACCCAACCTGCAGGGACAAAACCAAAGGATTTAGGCCAGATGTGGTCCTAAAAACAGGGCTGAATTCCCAATTCCATGGGTTTTGTCTCCTGGACATCCTGCTGTCCATATTCCTGTTGTCCATTTGCGTTCAGAGCCTCGAGGAAAGGATGCAGAGGAGGGTGTTCAGCAGTGGACACCGGGTTTTGCAGGGATTTTCATGCAGAAAATCTATTTCCCCATGGCAGTGAGCAGCAGGGACACAGGGAAAAGGCTGGCAAGAGGGTGAGGAAATGACAGAAGTTCATGGCTAAAACTCCAAGAAAGAGAAATTGTGCTGCTGCCAGGCCATGGTGCAAACTTGGGGCAGTTCATGACCCAGGTGAAGCACCCAGGAGCGAGGGTGGCTGTGCTTGGTGGCTCGCAGGGAACCCACCCAGAGCCTCCAGAACATTCCAGGTGGGAGGAGCAGGGATCCCTGCTGGGAGCAGCAGCTCCCGGTGCTCTCACTCACCGCTCGATGATGCTGTTGTTGAGCTGGAGATCGCAGGTGACCGACCTCATCTGCTCCAGCAGCTCCTGCATCCTGCAGGGACAGACACAGCCCTAATTCCTGCATCCTGCAGGGTCACAGCCCCAATTCCTGCATCCTGCAGGGACACAGCCCCAATTCCTGCATCCTGCATGGACACAGCCCCAATTCCTGCATCCTGCAGGGTCACAGCCCCAATTCCTGCATCCTGCAGGGTCACAGCCCCAATTCCTGCATCCTGCATGGACACAGCCCCAATTCCTGCATCCTGCAGGGACAGACACAGCCCCAATTCCTGCATCCTGCAGGGACAGACACAGCCCCAATTCCTGCACTGCCCAGTCCCTGCTCGCCACGGGAGCAGCTCCTGCTGGAGGGCTGGGATGTCCCCCAGGACACGGATCTCATTTCCAGCCCTGCAGACACAGCAGCCCCACCCCATTCCCCAGGATGAGCAGCAGGATCTGCTCCCTCCCATCCCTGCTCCCAGGACTCACCGCAGAGCCATCTCCTGGCTCAGGGGGACGGGGGAAGGCACCGGAGGAGCCAGGGCCAAATTCCATTTCTCCACCTGGAGAAGCCTGTCCAGAGCCTGTGGAGATGGAGAGTCCTGGGTGGCCACAGCACTGAGCCAAACACCCAGCAGCACCCACAGGGTCACAGCCACCACTGCTCCAGGACAGTGAAGTCACCCAGGGGCCACCACATCCACCAGGAGCTGGAGCCCCAGCTCAGCAGCTTTTCCTCCTGTTGAAATTCCCATTTATCCCATGGGATCCCCCGTGCCAGGCAATCCTGGGCGCCAGCAGTGCCTCTGCCAAAGGTTTCCCCACTCCCTGCTCACAGCAACACCTCCAGCTTGGATCAGCCACAAAAAACTCCTGCAAGGGGTTTAGAAACGGCCCAGGAGGCTGGAGAGGGAGCAGGAGCTGGGAAAAAAACCTGGGGGAAAAATGGGGGAAAATGGGGGAAAATGGGGGGAAAAAAGGGGGAGAAAAAGGAGGG